TCACAGAGGGTCAATTCTTCAAGGCAAAAGAATGGACTTTATAGAACACATAAAGAAAACAAAAAAGAAAATTAACGGAAACACAGACATAAAATAAAGATTTAAAAGGTATATGAAAGCTCCACAAATACTGTCTCATACCTCTGCCTTTATTTTCTGAGAATGCAGTGCAGAATTTACCCTAGCATTGGCATATCGCCATTGCAAGAGTCGATTGTATAGCAACCGCGACTGATGAACATCTTCTATGTGATTTGCAGCCTTCTTGCCTCTCTTAATATCCACAATAAACCTGAGGACAGATGTTGAACTCTGAGCTTGCTTTGATGGACTGGATGGTCTTACCCGAGCAGGATTGGGTCCTCTAGGAGGATTGACAGCCTTTGCTTTGGCTGGACCGACTCTAGAGGCAGAGGGTGATGCAGGACTTGATCCAGGAGTTGGCAAAGATTGATGTTTAACAGCAGAATTCCCTAAAGTTTCTCTCTTCAATGAGGCTGAAGAAACTGTCTTTTTTATCTGTGAACTATCAACAACTGAACAACCCCGGAATATTATTTTCTCACGTTCACGAGATACACATGTTAACAAGGCACAGGAAGTTTCTGGTAAAGGTTTACTTGCCCCCTCCAAAGATAATCTCCTCAGGTTTGGTGAACCTGCTACTGAATGGGTTAAAGAAGTTCTATTAGTCTTATCAGTGAGATCAGTATTTCTTTTTAAAGCATTGGAGAACACTTTTCCACCTGTTCGGCTTGGCCATCGATGCTGATCCACCAGTTGAGTATGTAAACCATCAACTGGTCTGGAATTCTCTGATTGATCAGTAGAATTCTTTCCTTTAGGTGGGCTCCTCTTCCTCTCTGGTGTAGGCTTCCTTGAAGCCGGTGGTGCTTTGCCCTGTTTAAGCACTACATTCACTGATGACTTCAAATTGCGATCAGAAAGACCATGAGACACTGGTTTTTCTCTCTTACATATAGGGAGAGAAAAGGTATCAGATTGGAAAGAAACACTGAGACTCCGCACTGTAGATGGCCATAAAGACTCTGGTAACTTATTACCTAGTATCTTTTTTGATCCCAGTAGCATTTCTGCAGTTGTATCCTGGACTGGAGTTGATGCACGTGGACTTGGAGGTGATAATGGAGTGGTAGGACGCTTCCTGTCAGCTGACGCTGACCTCTTAGTTACTGATACAATTGCCGATGTTGTTGTTCTAGTGGCATTTGGCGAAGGGCAACGCTTTGGACCGGAGGCTGTAGATGGAGTAGGTGACCTATACCTAGAACTAACTTCTCTGGTTTGGGATCGTCCAGTGGTTCCATTTTTATTGTCAGCATTCACCAGTGGTGGTCTTCTAGTTTCCACTGTGGAGCGCTTCTGTAATGCTACCCTTGATTCACACACATCCATCCAAACTACAGATTAGACCACATTGATATCCCCTTCATATGCTATTGATCAAAACACTTTTTGACAGGCTTTTACTAAACCGAAAATTAAACAAATAAGTAACCAGAACAATTACTCTAAAAGCAGACCCTTTCCTGATAAAAATCTGCCATACAAATTTTAAGCCAAAAGTAAGATACCAGGGATAGAAAACTAAAGAAAATAAGAGAACAATGCTTGACGAAAAAGTAAAGGATGTTAGAAGAATACATCTTTACAGAGTTCCAGATCTGAACCAGATTGAATATGATTACTTCAACCAACAAATGCAAATGGTTTTTCCATAATCATCAAAACTGGCATAAATTCTGTAAAATCACGCCCACCAAAAAGATAGTAAAAAAATGAAACATCAAAAGAAGAAAAATCAAATAATAGCTGATGAAATTCCCTTCCTTGGAAATGGAGAAGGGTAAGAGTAGAGGAAGAGAATAGGGATATGGGAATAGAGTAAAGAGAAGGGTGTGTAGGATAAAAATGCCTCTTTCTTGTTTGTCTCTCTCTCTCGTTTACTCTTTTGTTTTTGGTCCCCATCTTTTTGTCTTCTCACACGAGAGTGCCATTGCTCTGAGGGCTGAAGCTACACACACACACACACACACACACACACACACACACACGTTCACTCAGCAACATTGACAATGGGAGCCTTACTGGGCTGTTCCCTCTTTCCCCTAGCCACCTTCTTTACATGAAAGGGAATTCACTGAAAGTGCCAACCCACCCCACCCATGTGTGGGGGTGGATTGTGGGGGGCGGGGGGGTCCACACACAGGCAAACACGTATCAGTGTATGATTACACATAATGAGCCTTTATCAATGGAAATTAAAAACTGTGGTTTTCCCAAAATCATGAAATGGAAAATCTTTACTGTCAGATTCATAATTTTTTAACTATAGTTCACTATGAATTAACTAATTATATATAAATTCAAAAAATGATTAGAGCTAATTAGTATGAAAATGATGATAAGAGTTATCTTTACTAGAAATCATTGTTCATCCCCATGAACGCGCAGTACAATATATACACGAAACACCAAAAATAAAAAAAATCTCAATTCTGAGAAATTATATAAAAAATATTTTTCTCCTAGTTTTTAACAATATAGATCATTTTTAAAATGTAGTTTAATTTTACAGATTCAGGAACGGAAATCAATAAATATTTGTTTTTTCATAAAATCCAAACTTGATAGATTGAGGAATTTACAAGGATAAATTACACGCAATAATTTCTGTACTTTGTCAGACTTTGTACTTCTGAGTAAATCTGCAGATTTCGCGTTTAATCTCATACATAAACCATTAAAAAAAAAAAATCAGATAGATTTATTAGGAAAAAAAAAAAAAAAAAAAATTAAAAAAAATCCACCAAAAGGCAGAATGCAAAAAACCACATAGTTAAGCCAAAAAAGAAAAGTATATATATATAAGATTCAATATAAATAATTACCTGTAATTTCTCGTAAAGAAGAAAATTGGGTGTGTGTTTCTTAATAGAATAATTATGAGAAATTAAAATAAATAAATATTATGAAAAAGGAAGAAATGAAGGAAATTTCAGTTAAATAAGGTTGAGAAATGGAGCCAGGAGAGAGGAGGACGTTATTTCGCGCCACCTCATTATTTGTTAACTGGTTTATTTTAATATTTTTTTCTTTCTATGCTTGTGGAAATGTCAAATTTACCCCAAACGAGGATTAAAATTAGATTTTAGCCAATTTTGATTAAAAAGAGAAAAGAAATATATTGTTAAAAAATTGTGAATTTCATAAAATATATGATTCAAACTTATTATTAACTTTAACTCAGATAAAAATTTATATTTTAATCCATGTCAAGGATGAGTTTATTGTTTCGTACGACGATATCATCCTTGATTATTTTACAATTAAATGGAAAATTTTCAATGTTTTTAACTTGGCATAAGTATTGATCCGAGTAAGGTACAGAAGTAAAGATTAAATGGTTAGACTAATTTTTTCACCAATTTTTTACAAGCAAATTTTTTGATTGAATTGATCGATTGATTTGTACAATATCAAGGGATTTGCGCTTAGGGGTAGTAATGGAAGTGACATTAATTTTTATAAGAGTGTTTTTTTTTTTATGTCATCAAATTAAATGTAGTTTGTTTTTTTTTTTCCAAGATTAGGTATTGAAGTGCTTTAGAAAGAATATAATGCATATTAGAAATTATTTTGAAAGAATGAAAAGTAGTCAAAGAATGGCGTTAAATGGAGCAAGTAGTGTAACTTAGCTCGTTATTGTTGGGCTCGACTTGTGTTTGCCTGTTGAAGGAGTCGAGCGTGAGCCGCTTGCCAATTCTCATCAATAATATTTTTAATTGAAGTTGCATTTTTCACTCAAATGACGAGTCTATTAGTGAGCCAATGCCCAAGATAATAATTGCTCGACTTGCTAGTGAAACAAGCCACTTGTTCTTCTTAACACCCAACATCAAAGTGAGTTGGAAGTTTTGAATAATATTAGGTGGAAAAGTAGGCAAAGAGACTAGTGTCTTTTTCTTTGTACTTTCTTTTGGTAAATAGTCGATAAGAATGGAGACTTTTATGTCCTCGATAAGGAATTTAAATTAAAACATTTGATTGTATGATCAAAAAACAATACTATACTAAATCACAAGAAAAAAATATGTTAAAATTTTGTTAAATCGAGACATTTTAATCCTCAACATTTAGCCCGTGACATGGGCAGTTCAAATTAAAGCCGTGAAACAAATAGCTGGTAAATTAAAATTGGAACTAGCGCAATTCATAGAATTAGAAGCTTTTGCACAATTTTGCTTTGGATCTCGATAAAACTACTCAGAATCAATTGACAAGAGGTTGAGCCAAATGGGCCAGCTTGGGCCAATCTCTCAAAACGAGGCTTGGCCCGACCTCAGCTCGATATCTTTGAGTTACGACCCAAGCTACAGCTGCTCGAAATGGCGAGCAAAATTGACAATCCTACTAGGATGACAACAAGCATGGACTGATGACAAGGAGTCATGATCAAGTTAAAAAAATTAATTACGTTAAACTTACTTTAATAATATGTAATAATCACAAATGCAATGTTAAATGGTCCCAAATTTATTTTTTTTGGGAGTAGGGTACCAAAGACCAAATAATAAATGGGCTCTCATGTGCTTGTACCTTGCCTGCACATTATAATGACAAAATCAATTACTATATGCTTCTGCGTGTTCTTTTCTAAGGTTGACCTACTTTTGATATATGGTTCAGACATTCGAAAATAATAAGATTCACGTGGAACCAAATTCATTGGAAATCACATATTGTCTTGACTTATTATTTGGCATGGAACAAATAATGCAATTTGTTAAAGGGTATAATTGTCTTTATCTGCCCTTTAAACATAATTTTTCGACAGAAATTGTCATTTGGGACAAAGCATGCTAATTAATGAAAAGTTAATAGTATTTGTGCAATGAAAATATTAGGGATAAGCTTCACAACCTTTCGCGCGGTATAATTATGAATTCTCAACCTTCAAAAGAGAGGTTCTAAATTCCTAATATACTTAAATATAGGTACCAAACGATCAAAACCACCAATGTGAACGTTAAAATTGCATGAGAACTTTTAATTGAGCCGGAAAGAAATGTGAATTACTTTAACAATTTCACCCTGCAATTTTAAATTAAGTGAAAGTCGCGTACAATTTTAAACATCCACGTTAATTATTTCAATCATTGACAAGCGAGATTTACATATTTAAATAAATTGAGACCCAAAACCTCACTTCTAAATATTGTACACACCATGTGAACGATTGGGAACCCAACCCAAAATTTTCCTTTTTTAAAATGAATCAAATGATCCACATGCCTACCTGGCTATTGCTTAGAAAAGCAAATTTCTTCTTTTTTAGACTTAGCCAAACTAATGACCACTACTCGTTCTCATCTAATGGTCCAAATTAATCACATTAGATTGGGCCATTTAGTAACATGTCCAATATGATGATGAGTTTATAAATAGGAAGTTTCTTCTAATAATTTTTCTTTTTATCCACATGATTCCAGAGGTTTTGAATGGATCGTTAATTAAGCATGAATCGTAGAGTGTACAAAGCTCCAGTCATAATGTTAACATGTATGTGGAAAGATGTTATGCGGAGGATCAAGAAGAATTTTAGAGCTTTGTTCTTGGAACACCATCAGGTGCAAATAAGGCACTCATGTCTCTATTGGGTTGTGATGAGCGATGACAGATGACAGGAAAATGGGACTCGATTAAACTTTATAATCAAAGAAAAATAAAACCCAATTCCACAAGACATGACACAATCTGTATCGAATCATCCTTATGGACTCGACAAGTGTCGTGCGTCAATGGTAGATACCAGCTAAGTGCCGGACCCACCACCAGGCAACTTTGACTGTGACATATTTAAAAAAAAAAAAATTTGACAGAGTTCCTTTTGAAATATGTACTAAAACCACCTGAAAATAATAATAATCATTTTTCTCAAATTTGTGCATAAAATTTAAAATAGGGTACACCAGCCCCTCAATACAACTATTTAGAATAAAGTGTACGAGTATGATATTTGCTCTCTAAATGCACAACTTTTATAAAAATGCAGCGAAACCATGATATGGATATGCTTTTCGACAAGAGATATATGTATTCCAATAAATGAATTATATAAACTACCAAAAATGAGTTATACAACTAATGATAGTGCGTGGCTTGATTTGGCAGATCAACAGGCTCTATCGCTGCTCAACTCAGCTACTATTTGAAAAGGAAAAGGTGAAAAGATAAATGAGCTTATAGCTCAGTGAGTAGATAATTTACAAATAAATATAATTTTTCATTTATACATATTTTCTGAAAATTCTTGCACTATTAAAAGATCTAAAAATTTTGAAATCTGGTAACACTTTTAAAATCAAACATGAATGCATCATAAAATTCTTTGTTCTTTATTCTAGCAAGCAACTGTAAGATATAATGAATATGATAACAGTAAATATAAGTGAAAATATCATTTCACAGTACTATAAGCTGAAATCATTACTCTACAAACTAAATAAGCTAATTTCTGTAGCATGAAATCTGATAAGATGTATAATACTGAAAATTACACCAAAAAGGTACCCGTAATAACCTTACTTATGTATCGGTTAGTATCTATATACATGGCAAAGCTATTCGATTCTAAAATTCTATAATTCTTAAATTCTTAAATTCTGGTCATACGCGCGTAAAGCTATCTGGTCATACACTATGGAAACACATTCACACAAGTGTAAACAAGGGTAAAATCACCTGGGTAGTTTCTAATGATTTTAAAAATAACTTTAAATATACTGAAATATATTGATACTGAAATAGTATGCCAATGAAATGATTTAATTTTAAAAACAACTGTTTATAAATCAACTTTATTCGAAAAATCATGCTATCAAATCAACAGTATGAAAAAATAAATTTTTTGATTTAATATAAACTTAATAAATATTAATTTCTAAAAAATAAGTTTATATCCACTCACCAAGTTATAGGTTGATCGAGACTTCAATCTTCTCGTTGCCTTCTCACATTCAAATACCAAGTATGACATCTCGGCTCTCGCACTCATCCCATGAAATCATATCTCATTACTAAGGTGCTTTAAACATCTTTTCTACCATTAGAATGATAATTTACTAATAAGAACTTGGAGTCTTTTATTTTCGATTTAATGTCATAATCCCTATTAAGCTCACTAATAACATATTCACCTTTATATAAGTTATTTCAAGATTTAATCCCCAATATTTAATACTTAAATTGGTTTTCATACTAAAAATCCAAGAAAATCAAAAGACTAACGAAATTGGCACTGTATTTCCAGCATATAGAAATATGGTTCCAATTTTTATATAGGGCCTGTTTGGGAGCGATTTTTCTTCCCAAAAAATTGATTTTTTGATTGTTATTTCATTATTCCAACCGTCATATTTGACTTATTCTCTTACAGGTGGACCCCACTTTTCTCCTAACGGTCAAAAAATCAATTCTCAAAATTATTCCCAAACAGGCTCATATTGAAAACAGTCACCAAAATCATTGACAAAAATAGCACTTTCTGGGCAGAATTTCAAAAATAGCACCTGTGCATTACCTTGCTCAAAAATAGCGAAAAAATGTCTTAAATAACAGAGAAATTAAACCTCAAATCCTCAATCAAGTGATTGATATCATATAACTACAACAATTTTAAAGAGTAAAGCTATAATTTACAAACCCTTTTCATATTCTTTGATTTCAACATAAATCTTCCAATAAACATTTCCTTTGCAATAATATT